GGGAGAGGGGACTTTTCGTCTCCCCGCAGCAGAGGCGGCGGCTGAGCCTCCTTCCATCTCGGCTGCTTCTCCCTCAACTGGGGGTCTCTCTCCCTCTGCTCGCTCTCTCTTAACTGGGGCTCCGGAGACCTCGATGGGCGGGCCGTCAAGCGCGATTGGGGGGCTGTCCATGTTGACGGGAGCGTCGTCGACCCCAACGGGGGCGCTGCCAATCTCGAGCGGGGGTCCGGAGATCTCCATCGGGGGGCTGTCGCCCGCGAAGTGTGGAGGAGAGCTGACAGCCTCTCGGGATGGGCTGCCGATGGCGCCGGGGACCCAGAGGGGGGGCTCGTTCGCGGCGGGAGCGAGGAGGACCGCACTCGGGACCGCGACTGCCGCGGGCTGGCCGATGCTGCCGCCGTCGATTTGTGGGATAGCTCGGGGGAGCCCGGGGGGTGGGCTGTCGTCCCCAGAGGCTGCTCCATCAAACTCAAATGGCATAGCCTCCTCAGGGGGAGGACTACAGTCTCCTCTGAAGCCTGTGGTTGCAGGCTTGAGGGCTCCGGGCTCCTGGGGAGGAGTGCTAAAGACCCCTGCACCTGGGCCTCCTGGAGCGAGGTCTGAGACCTGCAGGAGAGGCTGGCTGCAGCCTCCCTGTGCAGGCTGCTCAAACTCAAAGGGCATGGCTTCTTCAGGTGGAGGGCTGTAGCCTCCCAGGCCGGGTCTGGCATCATCGAAGGCTCCGGGCTCCATGACCGTTGGGCTGAAGACCTCAGGGCCTGCCTGGGCCCCAGTGGTGTCTCCGGGCTGCTCCAGGGTAGGCCAGAAGCCTCCTGGGCTGGGCTGCTCGACCTCGAAGGGCATGGCTTCCTCAGGAGGTGGGCTGTAGCCTCCGAGGGCTCTGGTTTCCTCGATGGCCTGGCCCAGGTCCTGGCAGTTGGGTCCGGAGACCTCGGGGGGTCCACAGGCCTCGCCTTCAATCTCGAGGGGGACGGGCTCGCTGTGAGGCGGTTCGGTCTCCATCTCTTCGGCTGCGCCAGGCCCAGGACTGGGGGCAGCTGCCCCTGGGGCCTCCAAAGGTGGTTGCTCGGGCTGTTCCCCGAGTTCAAGGGGGATATCGCGTTGTCCTGACATATTATTGCCGTCGAGGCAGTTGCGCACGCCCATAACACGGTGGCGGACTCTTAAAATAAACTTGGGGCCCCGTGAGACGGAGCACCCAGCCGAACTAGGGTGAAAAAAATATCTTCGAAAAAATTCAAAGTATCAGCTAGAAAGTTCTCCAACCTCACTTTCCAACCCTCTTGAGGTCTGGGGCCTGAGGGCCTCAAACCCAAGACCAAAGCGGAAGCAAGTCTATTGTTGCCGGTGCAGTTTTCGCTCCTTCCTGGCCACTTTTTATCCCCTCAGGCTGCCCCTCGGCGCCCCTCTTGGCCTGCCCTCGTCCCCTCCTCTCTCTCTCTTTCTCTCTCTCTCTCTCTTTCTGTCTCTCTGCTCCAGGCCAGCCCCGCCTGCTTGGATCTGAGGAGCGTGCCGATTCGGTCCGAAAATCGCTCGTAGTGCTCGCTCTCTGCCACCAGAGGACGCCGGCCCCGGTGCCAAGGCAGCTCCGGGAGCCGGATCCTGGCGCCGGCAGCCCCGGACTTTGGGTAAGGGGGCCGATGAGCGCAGGCCTCGCAGGGATGTTTTGGCTCCTTCCACTCCTCTCCCTGACTGATTTGGAGTCTTTCTCCTCTCTTATCCCCTGGCCAGAGAGAGAGAGAGCTCTCCTGCGTTGCGGGACACGTGACGCAAGACGTGGGCCCGGGCTGCTTGAGCGCAGGAGCTGAAAACCCTCCCTCCCAGACCCAAATGACTCTCCTCGGGGGAGGGGGGAACCGCAGGAGGGTTTCATCACCCCAGGATACCCCTGAACCCCTGAGCCGCAGCCCCCAGACCTGGGCAGCCTCCAATCTTGAGCTCCAAGTCCGGAGTACAAGGCTTTGGGCGCGTGGGAAGGGGGCGCGGGCGCGCGCGGGGATGCGACAGGTGGTCGTAAGCCCACCGGCAGAGCGGAGAGAGGCGAGGGGCGAGGGGCTGCCGCGTGTGCGCCCACAGTTCGTTTTTAAAACGCCTTAGGGTACTTTCCACCGCTTCTGCAGCGTTTGTTTGCCGGTTTGCCCAGGCTGGCTCCTGTAAAAACACTCAATGTCCCCCATTCCCATCACACTCTGGGGGTCCCTGCGGTAGTCTAGAGTGGCGCAGGCAGGGTTTTCCCCCCGATTATTTGGACGATGATGCAAGGGAATAAGAGGGTCTTGGGCGCGCACCACGGAGACCCTCTAAGCGGTAGTTGCCGCGGCACGGAACGGGGGCGGGGGTGGGCGCGGGACACACGCGGAGACCCCCATCCGGTGCAGGCCTCAGAGTTCCGGGGGTTCCTACTGTTCTGGGGAAGGGTTAGCGGGATTTGTGTTGGGACCTGCGGCTGGCTTAGCGTGGTCTCGGAGACTGGACAACCCTGTGCGCACAGAACCCAAAGATACACACTGTGCCGCGCCGGCAGCAGCGGCTGTGATGTGCCGCTCTCGGCCGCGGGCGCCGGCTGCAGGGTCGGTCGGTCCGCCGCCCCAGTTCCTCTCCAGCCCCTCGCCAGCCCCCCTCCGGCCCCTCTCCTTTCGCTATGGGTATCCCAGGGCAGTCGCTTTACTTTTCCACTGCTAGAGCCCCCAGAGGCGCGGCATTAAGCCCGGCCACAAGTGTAGCGGTCGCCTGGCTGCGCTCCTGTCGCCGAAGCTCGTGTGGGTTTGGAGCCGGCTGGGGTAAATACCCGCACCGGCGGGGTGGGCTTGGCGCGTGCACGTGCACTGCTCTGGGTCTAGGGTCTGAGGAAGGATTTGAGTCGCGGGGGCCGGGGGGCGGCGGGCGGGAATTGCTGCTTGCGGGTCACGTACGACCCGGGACGTGGGCATGAGGGCTGTCTCGCCAGCGGGTGACACGGACCTGCCAGCTACCTTTAGGTGCAAGGCAGCTGGGCATGAGGCAGGTGGTCGCCTGGCGTGCGGGCGGGGGAGAGATGGCAGGAAGAGTTTCACGAGGGGTGGGCGGCGGCGAGCGGGAACACCGCTTGGGTGGCTGTATCTACGAGCCGCGGGCGGGTGAACCACGCACGGTCCAATCTCGTTAAGTCCAACGCATCCCTCTTAGAACGATGGGACCACAGCCACGGCGCACCACTGTCCCGCATCCGCCACCCACGTGGCCGTGCTGCGGGAGAAAGCTGACCAAGTCGGACTCTGGGCAACGTGTGGGGCCCCCCAAAGGCGTGACAGGTCAGCTCCATGGGTCTACACACTTGGAAATGCCAACACTGAACTTTGGCTCAAACTTTGTCCAACTATCCCCGTGAGCGACGGCTCAACCCTCTGAGCATCCAACGGAATGGGCCAACTGGGTCGCGACCGTCCACTCACTCCCCTCCGACCCCAGTGCCGGGTCAGCCATTGGGCTGGGGTCACGCCAATCAAGGTTGCCTGGCGAATGAGCAGGGGGCGTCCGGCCGGAAACCGGATATGAATGGGAGGTCCAATAGGGGGCGCCGCGTTGGAACGCCCTGAGAGGTTGTGCTGCTGGGGTGGTTGGAAGCGGTTGGTGGGCGGGCGTATGGCGGCCAGGCCTGGGACGCCTCGAGGCCGGCTGGCGCCGTGGGGTCACTCTTCCTGATGCCACAAGTCACAAAGGCTGGAAGGGAAGGTTGGGGGCTGACAGGGGTCAACCCTAGGTCTCGCAGGTGGCGGTGGGCAAACCCTCCCGTCCGGGGGAACCGCTGCTGAGACCAGGCGAGAAGGAAGAAAATGTCCAGGGCCTGGAGGTAGAGGGCCAGGACCCTGAGGAGGGAGAGGGCTCACTGCCCCGATGCGGAGGAGCAGTCCCAGACGGAAAAGGAGTTGAGGCCCCAGGGATGCTGCGCCCTGCCGAAGTAGAAGGTCAGTAGACATTGGGGTTTGGAGCCCCAAAGGGACGGGTTGCCCTCGTTCCGGGCCTTGCTTCCCCAAAACACTGTTCATCAAGGAATGGGTACAGGGTCTCTTTGTTTGACATCCTCAGGGGCGTCTGGGACCCCCTTTGTTCAGCACTCTTTGGTGTCTTTGGTTCTTTGCCTGGGGAGCCCATACACTGAGGGGATAAAGGCCGGGTAGATACCAACACTCCATCCTAAAGGATAAGCAACATAAAAATGAGAGGAAAGACCTCTGCTGGTGGTGGTGGTGGTGGTGGTGGTGCGGGGACTCGAAAGTGGTGGTGGGGACAGTGGCGTTTCAAATGGGCCTCCGTGGATGGCTAGGGCCCTCCGCTCCCAATGGGGGGGGGAGGGGCGGGTGGAATGATAGGTGTGGGCCCACCAGGAGCAAAAGGGGGAAGCTGGGTAAAGAGGACAGGCCACAGCGCAGAGTCTTGGAGGCGCAGTGGGAGTAAAGAGGGACGAATGAGGTAAGATCTCTCTGAGGATACCAGGAAGTTTCAGGGCAAGCACTCTTGAGACTGTTCTGGTAGGAAATGGAGATGATGAATGTTAATTGCGCTGCAAGGGAGGCTTTGCGCTTAGTTTTAGTAGAGATGGAGGGAGTGTGGAGGATGGTCCCACCGGAGCGAACAAAGGACGCCGTGGCTGGCCTTGACCTTTAAGGTGGGGAGACCCACGTGCAGTGAAGGAAGCAGGAAGGCTGAATGAGGGGACTCAAGAGGGATCCCAAAGGGCCCTCGAGCATCTCCTGTGCTCCCAAGGCACAAAAGGTGGAGAAGCCAAAGTGTGGCGCCTGGACGGTGGGACACAGGTGACACAGGGAAGTGGGGAGGATCTTGGGGAGGGGTGGCATGGTGGCGGAGCCAATTTGGGTTTGGACTTGGCAGAGGTGAAGGAAGGATGGGAGTCGCAGTGGAGTTTTTCACGGCCTGTTAATTAAGAGCGTGGGCCTGAAGTTTCGAAGGAAGCGCGAGACCTCAAGTTCAAAGTGACAACCGTCCTTATAGGATATGGAATCAGTGGGTCAGATACCACCCTCAAGGGGAGGAATATATCTGGTGACAGAATCTGGAGCACTTAGCGCACTAGAGGAGAAGAAAAGCTGCCTCAGGAGAGAGCAGTGGGCTGGGAAGGACTGGCGGGGGTACACGGGAGGGGAGGATCTAAGAAGCGCCACGTACCTAGTCAGGATTGTGGTTTCTTAGCCTCTGTGCTGTAGACATCGGGGCCAGATCATTCTCTGCTGAGGACTGTCCTGGGCACTGTAGGGTGTTAGCAGCATCCCTGGCCTCTACCCACTAGATGCCAGTAGCAGCCCCTTAGTTGTAGCAACCAAAAATCTGTTAGATTTTGCCAAATGTCCTCTGGGAGGCAAAATATCGCCCCCGGATGAAACCACTGCTGTAGGCTGAGAAAGGACCCTCAGATTGGAGTAGGAATCATTGTAATTGAAAGGTAAATTAGGACCAGGGAGAAAACATTACGCTGTTTAACTGCGATGCTCCCTATTGTCTACTCTTACTATTTTTTTTTCTTCCGTAGGGACTGGCCACCAGAATCTGAAACCTCAAATCACTCACGCGAGGGGGTTCAAAGCTGAAAGCATCACAGATCAGCAGTGGGACTTGAGACGCCTCAGAAGCGCGTCCAGATGTTTGAGGAGCTGGCCAACGTGAACGGCAGCTGGCGGGCCTGGCCACGGGGACCTGAGGACCCCGCTATGGTAAGAGCTGGGGGCGATTAGCTGGTGGGTTGACTGGGGGCGGGTGGGGGGAGGTGCTCTCTGGTGAGCATACTCTAGACTGGTGAGTTTTCTGGCTCAAGACAGAAATGGGGCCTGGCCCTGGATGCAGATTGGCCAGTGACCGGTGGTAGTGGGTAGCCTAGGCCACACTGCCAATTCTGGATGGATTTCTATCAGAGAAAGGGGTCTGTATCTGGTAGGAATAAGCAGGAACAAGGAAGGAAGGTCAGTGAATGAGTTCACACCGATGACGAAGAGGAAGGCAAGATAGGCTAGTCACAGGGTGCCCGAGAGAAGGGGGTGCTGGGGTCAAGGGCAAAATCTGTGTGCCAGGGTCTGGGCCCTGTCCCCACAGGGAGCGAGCGGGAGCAAAGGCGTGCAGTGAGACGGGTGTATCCATCAGAGAAGGAAAGGGCGGGCTGTCAAGTCCAGGTGGAGGTCTGTGGGAAACCGCGTATCCTTAAAAAGATCCTTAAAACTGCTACTTAAAAAGAATATAGATTGTCTACACTCCACGAGTCAAGAGAGGAAACACTGCTTATGCTTCAGTTAACCCGCATTTCTGAGGAAAGTCCGCCCGTTCACCAAAAGGCACAGGTCCCTCAGGTAGGCTCGGCTCTTTGTAAGCGAGTAACCCCCAGCGGAAAGAAGGTATTTCTTCACTCTTGGCTCTCTGAACAGCACCGTCACCGTCTGTAGGGACATGGCCCCCTGCCTCGGTGACCCCGTGTGGCACCCTGGGCTTCCCAAACTCCCATCTTCCTGCTCTATTGACACCTGCACCAGCACACGTCACACTCCGCAAATGGCCGTTAGTACGCTCACATTCGGGGATTCTTACTCGTTGCCAAAAGCACAAGGCGCATCCAAAGTTTCAGTAGCTGCCTGTCAGCCTTCTCATTTCATCCCCGTATCCAAGAAAGAGAAAGCAAAGCAGGCAGACGAGGAGGTGGTCGAGAGGGAAAGGAGCAGAAACCAGGCAAAATGATCTTTTTTTTGGGCAGTGGTATTTCCTCCTAGCCTAGCGTTTGGGGTGGGGGCCGTCTGCAGAAGAGCACTCTGCAGACCACTCCCGTCATTGCTGTCTGTCCGTGGATTTCTTTGGAACGCAGAAAAGGAGAATCTTTTCACCAGCTGGGAGGAAACAGCCAAAGCCAAAAGGAGAGAGAACCCGGGCAAGAGGATTCCGGCACCTGTTCTGTTTTTCCACCTCCCGGTGACCAGTGTTTTTTGAGTGCGAGAAGACTTTGAAGCTGTTCGGTTAATCACCGTTCAGTTAAGGCCTGCCGTGCTCATCTCTCTCCGTTCTAGCATCTCCTCTGCCAGCCTCGGCCGGTGGAGGCAGCAGCCTCCTGTCTGCAGAAGGGTCTGCGTGACCAGGCTGTTTCAGGCAAATGCCAGCCGGAGAGAAAACGCCTCAGATGGAGGTCAGGGGCAGGTGCACGGCTGAGATGACAGATGGGCCGGAACCAGACTTAGGGAGACACTTGATCTGCTCAGATTAACAAACCCCGTGCTGCAGCCCCAGGGGCGGAGGGTCTCCTCCCAGGAGTTCAGACCCCTTCATTCAGCTCGCTAGCTAAACTCGGCAGCCCTCGACCTGGAAGGGTCACCCATTTCTGCTGCGGCCAGGCACATGGCCGTCCTCTGACGGCCTGTGCTAGCGCCGTGGGCCCGCACATTCTCGACAGTCGCTTGAACTGGGCCGTGGATTCCTTCTCCAGGCTAGCTGATGATGCAGCAGAGAATGTGGAGGGGAGAAAAGATGAACAGTGCCCCGGGAAGGGGACTAAGAAAGGGGTAAAAGTGGGGACTAGAAGGGCAAGAGGGAATCCCAGAAGATAAATCTGGCTTTAGCGGGAGCTCTGTTTAAAATTCCGGGAAATCATGGCGGAACTTCCAGGCACTCTGGGAGCATCTGGGCACCGTAACCTGCATTTCAGGGGAGTGGTGGGTCTCATGTTAACGCAGAGCCTCAATTTCCCAGGGTGCGTTCTCCTCTTGAACTCTAATGGAGACAGCAACGTAAGCCAGAGTATTCAGCAACCGGCTCTCGCCTGGGGGAGGAGAAACTTGTCTTCAGCTGGCCGCCGTCCTTGGCCAGTGTGAGACTCGGGGCCTCTCCCTGAACTGAGATCCAAGATTTAGGACTTGAGCTATAAAACGACATTTCCTAGGTTGTAAATCTTTCATTTTGGTTGAAGCCCCTGAGGCACGTGTACAAAAACTCCCCTGTACCTATGGAATTGAGACCGTAGAGACCCTCCAGGGAGAGGTGACCTTGAGGGTACCTAAGCTGCGAGCCCCAGGGTGGCCCTCCACCGCTATGCCTGGCTATTAAAAATGCTGTTCCTGACGCTGCCTCTGCTGCCACCAGAGTTTTGAAGACGGCCACGGAGTTGCCCCTGAATCTCCCCTTATTTGTGCGTGCTGGTCTTTATAGCTCTAACACGGACGGGCTTTGTGATTCCTGTCTCCAAATCTTCTCTTCTGTTCCTTCCCTACTGTTCGCGTCTCCCACTACCTTCCAGTTTTTTCCGTGATCCCCCAACACCTTCCTTTCCCTTTGTTGTGCGCAAACCTTCCCGCACGTTAACAGGCACCACTACCTTCTGTGCACGCTGACCACCACCCCCCCGCGCCCCGTTACTTTGCAGCGTGCCTACCCTAAAATAAGCTCATAGAATAAAAATAGGCCGTGTCCACATGCAAAGCCAGGAGAGCGGCCCCCCCAATTCTGCCTTGCAGTGGGGGCTCTGCTGGCAGGCGGGGGCTGTGGCGCCAGCTCCTCTTGGATCTTGGATGCCCTGCCTTTACTGGCTGAGCGTTGTCAACAGGTGACAGGGGCCCTGCACTGCAGACTCTTGGCCTTGGGAGAACGAAGTCACTAGGCTATTTATTCTGGCTTCTCTGCTATGTGAATCGACTGGGCACCAGCACCAGGATAGGTACCAGGGGTTCTGGGGGGGGGGGGGGTGGAGATGTGAGATTTTTTTAAAAAGGGAAAACCAAACATTAGTAAGATTTCTCTTATATGTAGCCTTGTAATGTGCAGCCAAAAAAAAAACCAAACAAACAAAAAAAAACACACCAAAACTGGGATGTTCAACCATTACTTTTTTTTTTTTTTTCTTTTTAACTCCATTTGCTCCGCTAGCCCGTGCATTTGCCATGGAGGAAAATTGGTTTAGGGGGAAGTGCAAAAAAAAAAAAAAAAAAAAAGCCATTACAAGGTCCTGCAGTATAGAAACAGATATACAGTACATTTCTATAACTATGGTATTAAAATTTCATGGGAGAGAAGCAATTAAGGAAAAAAGTCTGAAAAGGCTCTTGGGAGGGAAGGATAATAAAAACAAACTCAGGAGCTAAGGAAATGGGTTTATCCTAACTAGCTGCAGCCTCGGAGCTGCGTTGGCAGGTCTGGCCTAATCAGGACACTTACGAGTGACTGAATAATACATTCAAGCGCTCGTGGTCACTTGACACGAGTCATTGCTGTCAGACCGCTCTCTCCCAGAGCAGGTAGCATCATCTCCAGGCTGCAGTAACGCTGGCTTCAGGCCCCCTGCTCCCACTCGGAAAAGCTTGTTTTCACACAAGAAGATCGAAGATCGGGGAGAGCAGGTGAGGGGACCAAGCAGGCACAAGACAAACACTTAAAGATCTGCTCCGAAGGATGGCCATTTTTCCCCCTCAGGCTAGTGACAGGACCCAGTGGGATTCTGTATTCCCTAACTTGCCTCGTTAACCTTTTTTTTGCCACCCATTCAAAAACAGATCGGATAACATCAAAATGAGAACAACGCAAAACAGATTCCTTCACAACTGGTGCTTTTTATTTGGTCACCCTTGAACAACTTTTTTTTTTTTTTGGCTCTGTTAGCGTTAAAGTCACGGACGGAGTGAGACTGGGCAAGCCTGGGCTTTATTGGCCTGCACGCATTTGGAGCTGAAGGGGATACTGTGAACATCTCATTCAGTTCCTTCTATTGTCTGTGTGAGGAAACTGAGGCAGTGAGGTGCTGGGGCTGGCCCAGGCCTAGAGGTCCTTGGGGCTTACAGGTCCTGCTGTCCACTCGTGGGGCAGCAAGATTCAGGAAATGGTCATGAATGTCAAAACCCCGAAGGGAGGTCGAGGTGTCCCATCCCTCATTCTGGAACAGGGGGATTAAAGATATAATGTGAGAGCCTGATCCCTCTTGCTGGGCAATTTCTAAGAGCAGGGCAGCACTTGAGCCGGCGTCTCACCTCTGGAAGCTTAATTTGATTTTAGTAATTTGTTTTTTGTTGTTGTTACAGATACATGCTTTCCCCTACACCATGGTTTCTGCTCAGTTTCCTCTCAATAGCTTCCGTCTGCAGGAAGAGCGGCGATAACACAGGTAAATTAAGTAAACTCCATTCAGATTATTTAAAAAAAAAAAAAAAAGACCTCATTCTTACCCACATGGAAGTTTCAGCTTCCTCATGAAATCTTCCATCCCAGCTGCTAGAAGTGAGGGCTAAAGAGTGAAACGGCTGTAAGCAGTTCCAGGGGGCGAAAACCAGCTTCGAGTGCATTAAAGAAACATCCTCTTAAAACAATTCCAAACTTTACACTTCCCGGTTCTTGAATTCTGATAAACATAAACGAAAAGTTTTGTTTGCCAAACTTTCGAGGTCAACCTGGGCCAGATGGCTGGACAGCACACAGCATGTGAACACTGCTCTTAATTTTCCAACTCAGAAAGTTGAGTTTTAAGAGGACCTCTGTCCAAGAAAAAGCAAATTTCTATTAAGTAAATGATTCACGGAGCAAAGGAAAATCCTAATGCCAGAGCAGACCATCACATTTAAGTAGCTTTATTCTCCTCCTCCCCTCCCCCCCCCGAGAAATAACTACAACTGACTAGTAATTCACTTACGGGGTCAACTAGCAGGGGTTTTGTTTTGAGCGAATTTCCTCACCAGACACACCCCACCTAAACTGAAAGAGCCAAGTGAGCCCATTCAAATGCTAACCCCAGTTCTACTGGGTGAGACAAAGGGCCAATTTGGAGCCTAGTGAGTCGGGAATGCTTGGGAGAACTTGCCAGAAATGCCTCTGGGGAAAAGAAAAAGGTAGTGGAGCCCCAGTGTCTCAGGTGGTTAGAGGGTTTGAAGTGTCTGTAGGGCAAAATCTCTTCCTTGGGGGGGGGTCCAGGGCACTTCCTCGGGGGCGGGGCAGGGGGGGGGTCTGGCATATTTCTCAGCTGTTCTGGATCATCTCTGATGGCTGTTCCACCCTGACACAGGGCTGGAGGGGTGGAGGGTGGGGGAGGTTGGGAGAGGTGGAGGGTGGGGGAAGGGAGCTGAGTGGGGGAGGGGCGTGTGGGTGGGTCACAGGGTTTCACAACCGGAGGCACTTTATGAAAGAGGGCAGACTATCTGTGTGTTCCTAGACGGGGACTTACACCCCCCAATAATGAGCTTGATGTGTATTGCTGACAGTCAGGAAAGCAAGTGTCTCAACATCCAGGCTTTTGTTCAAAAACAGACCAAGACCGAGGTGAACGTTGTGGGCTTGGGCACTGAGGACTTCCTAAAAACCTCGTGTATTCTCCCTGCGACACGGCAACATGCTAATTCCTCCAATGAAAAACCTAGCTCTGCAGGCCGAGCGGACCCCCCCCCCCCACTACCCGGTCTTGGGAAGACAGCTCCCGCACGGAAAAGCACACCAAAACCAGCCAAGCAAACCCTGGCTTCTTGTGCAGATTCACCAAAGACGTCGTACTTGGTGAACGCAGGCTGCTAAGACGTTACCACAGGAAAAAAAATAACACGTAATGCCACAGAAAGGAGCCATATGCCCACTGGTGACCTGAAGTAGAAATTTCAACTTCGGAGAGCTCCATCTCACTTAGGCAATTTCACACTGGTAAGCCAAAGGCAGCGCGCGCCTGGCCCTGCTGCGCCACCTCGGCAGCCTCCCGACTTCTGACCCCTCCCCGCGGCCCAGGGAAGCCCCCTGCTACCAAACGGCCCTCTGGGTCCATACTAGTGAAGACACACAGGCATCCAGCAGCCAGCATAACTAAGTTCTGGGGCGCCGCGACGCCTTTCCCAGAGAAGAGACCTGGAAGGAGGACCAAGAAAAGTGTGTTCCTTCCGGCCTCATCCTTCCCCTAGGAGTTTAAGAACCCGACTGATCTTTTCCTTTCCAGCCTAAAAACGGTTCACTCCCCCCTCCCCCCAAATCATTCTCCGCAGACTAGCCCAAACCCGCGCAAAGCGAGACGCACGCGCGCACCAAGAAAACATCAATTTCCATACCGGGTGAGGTTCTGTAAAATACATTTCATTTGTCAGTCTTTTCCTCCAGGATTGGCAGGTAAGACACACTTTACGCACCGAAGATGACACACTTTACGCACCGAAGATCTGTTACCGGATTGCAGCCGTTTTTGTGCTCGGACACCAGGGCGGTTTCACCTCCAGGTTACGGATTCCAAACTTAGCTCCACCCGAGCCGAAAATGGCCGGTGCGCCGCCTCCCCTCCCCGAGGCTGCCGAAGCCGCCGCCGGCCCCTGCCCCCCTCTTGACCGATCCCCGAAGGACTTGCGTCGGATCGGATCCAACACCTTTCCCCGGCGCGGTAGTGCTGTGCTCTTTGGGGACGCATTGTAGGGTGCCCCGATGAAAGACGCGATCCCCTCTCCAGCCCCGTTCCTTGTGCCGCTTTACCTTTCCGCTCGGCACCGCCTCGCGGGCCTCTTAGCCCCTCTCTTCTGTCCCCAGGTCCGTGCGCAAACAGCCTCAGACCTCTCCAGCCAGGCTGCACCCGGCCCCGCCGCCAGATCAGCTGCGCCAAAAGGGTAGCGATGCCCCGACGTGACCAAGCCCGCGCCACTAACCCTGGTAGCCGGTAGGGGCACCCCCTAAGACTCCCGTACCTTCTCTGCCAGCCCTCCAAGTACGCGTGATTCGTGGGGAACCGCGGGCGGTCCGAGGAGGTCGGCTCTGGAGCGCGCGGGCAGGTGCGCACGCTCTTTGCAGCGGACTCCCGCCCCGTGAGCGCCCGGAGAGGGGTGGTGGCGGCCAGGACTAACGCACAGCACAGCCGCGGGGAGCACTGGCGCCGAGGTCCCGCGGCTCCAAGTTGGCAGCGCTGGGACCTGGGCTCCAGGCTCGGAGTGTCTTAAAGCGCCGCGCGCGACTTTTCCCGGCGCGGGCAGTCTCCGGAGTTCTCGCCCAATCCCGGTGTGATTACTTTTCGCACATTGCAACAGTGTCGCTACAGCGCGGCAGCTCTCGCACGGTGAAAGTTGGCGCGCGCACCTCCGAACCACGTTTCGGGCGCCTGCCAAGGCCAACCGGTTTGAGGCCAGTGTTTAAGAGGGGGGAAAAGAGCGCATGAAACAAGTGACTTACCCGTGCCTTTTCGGTGTGCAGCTGGAAACCTGGGGCGCGCCGGGGATTCTGGGCGCGCATCCTGGACACCGGCTCGGAGACCTCAGGCTGTCTCCAGCCCGGCGCCAGGAGCGCACCGTCGTGCAACAAGCCTTGGCCACCTGGGCGCCCCCGGCGCCGTCCCGGCGCCCAGGGGAGCCTTTCCCAGCCTGCCGGCGGCACCCCCACCCACCTCCCGGGCTGGCTAGCTGAGCCTGCTATCTTCCCACCTTCCTCCTAACCTGCCTCTCCTTCTCCCTCCTCTCCTCCCGCGGGCTCCCACACCGACCCCAGGCTTCCCCAGTTTAGCAGTGGGCAACTAACCTGAGTCAAAGAAAACAAGGAGAATCTGGACGGCGTCCTCCATTAGTGACGCCGGATGGGGATGGGTCCCCTTTTGGAAGGGGACTCCGGGGATGGGTCGCGGCGGGTGGGCTTCTTCGGCTTGCAGCGGCGCTGCTGCTTCTTCTCCTCCTCCTTTGGCTCCTCGGACTCCTCGGGGTCCCTCGGATCCTTGTCCTCGGGCTCGGGCTCCTCCCCCTGCCTGGGGTTCTGGGGCTCCTGAGTGCTGGGCTGCGCGCGACTCGGGGAGGCGTCGGGGCTCCGCAATCTCAGAGCGTGCAGACGCTCGGTGAGAGATTGGCCGAAGGTGGTGTGCTTGGGCACCACGGGGCCGCGCTCGTCCTCGGGCTCGGTCTCGGGCTCAGTGGCGGGGGCGGTCTCAGGCTCGGTCTCGAAGTCGGTCTCGGATTCGATTTCAGACTCGGTCTCGGTCTCGCTCTCGGATTCGTAGTCAAACTCTTCCTCGTACTCTAGGCACTCGGGGAGGGACAGCTCGAGGTCTGCCTCCTCGTGCTCGTGGTCAGATTCGGGGGGCTCGGGGAACACCTGGGCGCCGGAGCGGTGGTGGGCGTTAAGGAAGCTCCGGCGCTGCTGGGCGGCCGCGCGCTGCTGGGCGCGGGCGTTGGAGGTGGCAAGGGCGCGGAGGAGCGCGATGGAGCAGGAGAGCCAGAGGAGCGCGGTGGCTGCCCGGCGGCCGATAGGTGGGCACAGATCGTTGTAGTTGTGGCGAGCTCGGCGCCACTGCTGAGCCCGGGACCTACGATCCATTCTCTTAGGCGCACACCGAGAAGCCCACCCGCCCTCTGGCTCTGCAGAGAGCGGCTCCGATGCGCATCGGCTGCTGGAGCCGAAAAAGGTGCACCCCACGAGGTGAGAAGCTGGGTCCGGAGGTCCCAGCCCCACCTCGGTGTGAGGGGGGGGAAAAGGGAAGCACCTACCTTCCTGACCACTCAACTTTCTAAAGCTCCGCGCCTCCGCTCGCCTCTCTGAGCAAGAAGAAGGGATGGGAAAAGGGGGAAGAGAGGGTCTGTCTCCTCCCAGGCTCCTCTCTCTAAGTCTCCGACTCTGCGGTCTAAGACCCGGGAGAGGCGCCTCCGCTGGTCCTCTCGCCTGGGAGAGGAATGAGGAGACTGAGGCGGGGAGGGACGCGGCGGAGAGGTTCTGCAAAGTTGCGCGCCCGGACTTCAGCCGGGCATGTGCAGTAAGGAGGCGGGGGCGCCTCCCCGCGAGCTGCGCTGTGGCGCCGAGCCCGTGGCGCAGACCCTAGTGGGCCGGCAGGTGGCAGGAGGGAACCTTGTTTGGAAGGATTGGGGCGAAGCGAGGGGCGGGGTCCCTGGCGGGTGCCAAGGAGCAAAACGAGTGAGCGAGCTAGCCACAGGTTAGGGTGGGTATGGCTTCTCCGAGGGGTCCATACCCCTCCTCGGCTCCAGCATCCTCGGTAAAATAAAGCTTGAAAACCAGACCGCTAAGTTGCAGATACTCGGCGGAATGAAATGAGGGTCTATGCGTGGGTATTAATGATCCAGCCACAGGCGATTTCCAAGGGCTTAATAGTTTGAGGATGGTAACCTCAGGCAGTCATTAATCAGGAAACCACCTTTGGCGGATCTGTTACAGAGACTGTAATTAAGAGCGTTTGGGAAAAATACTCACCCCCCCCCCCCCCCCCCCGCCCAGTCTCAACTGGTTAATTACCCCATGGACAAACAAGCATCTTTCCAAGGAAGGGCCCCCACAGGCGGGGTGATGGGTTGCAAGTCCACAAACCCATCAGTGGACCGCCATGAGCTCTGGCTGAGATCGGGCACTGGAAGACAGACTTTAATTAGCTGGAACCACTAGTTAAGAGAAGTCGTTCCGAGCTGATATTCAGCAGGTCTAGTCAGTTCTCTGCCCCTGTGGGGCGCTGCAGGCTGGTCAGCTATCAAGCAGATCTCATGGGGTACCCCTTAAAGCTCTTTCGTTTCATACAGAGATAGGTTTTCAACAAAGCTAATTCATTCGGCGAATATTTATTGACTGCCTAGCATGCGCCAGGCTCTGCTCCAGGTGCTGGAGTTAAAAAAAAAAAAAAAAGAAAGAAAGAAAAACGAAAACTTACATCAATTAAGGAAAGGCTAGTTAGGACTAATCTGCTGGTAATCAGAACGTTAAACGACTCAGAATCCCTCCTTGCCCACCAATGCTTGATCCAGCTCGGGTTCTGCAGGAGAAAACTATTGGGTAATCAGAGTCTTGGGGCTGGGTGGTGGCTACCCACCCCAGACCCTGTTGAACCCCGAAGGCTAAAAGGTTGGAGGAAATGAATACATCTCTTTCTCAGCCCTGCAAAATCAAATGTGTCCTCCTGAAGGGGGATCCTTGGAGTTATTATATCTTTGCTCAGGAAAGGATGGTCCTCCGGAAGCTTTTGAGTTCCCTCTGTGATCCGACGGCTTCTTCTGGGTTGTGCACAATGGCTTCCCTGGTGAGGTGTGGACCACAGTGGTGTAATTCAGAGCCAAATCGTCTTCCTAGAGGCCCTGGATGTGTCAACAAAGTTGCTCTGCCTGGGACAGGTGGGGTTTTGCTGGTTTGTTTTGTTTTTGTCTTTGACTCAATATGGGGGAGCTTTGGAGAGGCATGACCTCTCATTAATTCTGGTTTCCCTTTTGAGCTTGTCTACCAGGCTTTCCCTCCTGGTGCTCCCTTCTTGGTGTCTAAAGAGTCCTGCCTGTCTCTACAGCGGTTAGGCGGCCTGGTGGAACTCAACCTCATATCGCCCGCACCGTGCCCGCATACAGCTGTCAAATCCAGGGTATAGACCTTAGCAAGATTCCAGCCACCGCTTGTGCCATGTTGAGGTTTTTTTGTTTGTTTCTGCATCTTGGCTGGGGACATTCTAGAATGTTCCTGACCTGGCTTCTTGGCTGTGTCTCTCTTGCATCTTGTGTTCTTCGAGTTAGTTTGTGGCATTCAAGTACTGATTGGTCTAATCAAGTGGCATTGATTTGGCAAACCCCATACAAGGACACGTGTCTGTAGTCTAGCTGTGCCCCACTCTCACACTCTGCAGAGAAACTGAAAGCGTTTTACTGTCACAAGTGCCTGGCTGCCACCATCATGTGGAAATTAGTGTGGGACGCCGGACGGGCTGTTTGGAGCCGCCCAGCTCAAATCCTTCTCGCTCGGCCCCCGGTGAGGAGGGACGGCTCTAAAGGTTTTACTCACGTTGACCCACCTGCTTTATTCGTTTCAATTAGCGCAGCCTCCCTGACGGCGTAAGGAACATAAAGACATCGTTCAAGTGGTTTTTCAAGGCACACTGGGGAAAAAAAAAAAAATCAGGAATATGTGGGTGCTGGTGAATGCCCTTTCAATGGAGACGAATGCCAGCTGTCAGCAACGAGGTGGATTATGATTCTTTAGGGTTCATAAGAAAGTACTCCGTTTTTCAGAAGGAGTGCTCTATGCCTGTAATGGAGATGGCAGCCGCGAGCTGATCCACTAATACAGATACACGGAGATTGCCTGCGTTATTAACAAATGTGCGTTACATAATACGTATTTTTGGACTGGAGTCTGCATTAGTAATGCACTTTCTTTGCAAGATGCATTTTAATCAGCAAATGAACATTGAACAAAACACTGCATTTTAGAGCCCCAGTCCTGTACGGTTACAAATACATTTCGGTACGCATTCCGCACGGGCTCCTGGAGCAGCAGGACCGCACTGAAATACTGTTCCATCTCGCGCTTAGGGCCGAGGTCGAGCAAATGGATCTGGGCAGAAAATGCTGTTTAAAATGCATTACGTGCATGACTTTAAAAAGTGCTTGCTGCAGAGTGAATTTCAAAAAGGAGCAAGCCAGTGATGAACGACCTCGTGTTGTTAGCAGGCTAAGGAGCGAGGGGCTCTGTCTGTCTGCCGGTAAATAAAGTGTGGTCATATGTCACCTTCGCGCTCTGCCGGAGGGAGGCTCCTCAACCTGTCGGACAGGAAAGCGCGGTTCCCAGCCCATCAGAGCATCATACAATAAGGTTCTGATTGGGATGAATTGCGGAGAACATTGTCTTCAGCCCCTTAAAGGATTGTCCTGTGGAACGGGCACTGAGATGTATTTTATGTGGCTCCAGAGGGCAAAATTATAAGCTATGGGTAGTAGTTACAACAGGCAGATTTCAGCTCAACCCCAGGAAGAATATTCTAACAATTAGGGCCCTGAAATGGAACGGCTGTTAGGAAGCAGTTGGCTCTTTGTCAGAAGCGGTGTTAAATCAAAGGACAGATGAGCACATATTGGAGATGTTTTCCATGGGACTCATGAGCCGGGCAGAGTTGGAACTTGATGCGTGCCAAAGTTCTTTTCAACTCGGATTCTGATTCCATGAGAGGCATTTGGAGACCTTGGGAGAGGGGCTGGGGGCTCTACTGATGGACATGCCCTTCCGAGTCTGCTTCTATTTTAGAAGCATTTGAAAGTGCGTGCGGCTCAGTGACAGGAAGGAATGTTCGGGTGGCAGTTTCGGGACATGAGCAAACAGGTGTATGCGATGGAAGCGGCTGTCCGCTGTGCACAGCTTTCATAGCCGGGTCCGGGCTCTGAGGCGCTTGGCTCCACAACTCACTTGTGGAGCAAAGAAATGAGTGAAGTCTATTAACTGTACTCCTCCTCTGCCTCCCAGAGCCGTCCCGGAAATTAGGAATGAAATTGACTCTTCAGCCATGAGGAGTTGAGTCACTTCCGTGAGCGGGATGCTGTCGCAGGCACCGGGGGGGGGGGGGGCGGGGGGACAGTAGTAATCGAGGATGAGCTGCGGTCTCACCCCCCCCGACATGCGTGCAGCGCGAGGTGCCCCCAAATTCTAAAAAGGGGGCTGCCAACAGGTGCCGAAATAACAAATCCTACACGAGGTACATAAGCTGCTGAGGGAAGAGGCTGAGGAAGTGTTTATGCGAGCAGAGGGGGGAGTTCATCTGGTGGGTTTCTGAAAAAGGTGGGTTTTTTTTTTTTTTTTTTTTTCCCCTCTCGTCTGACTTTGGAGATTTTCTTGTTTTTTAAGAAGCCGTGAGAGGCTTGCTCTCAGTCCATCTGTTCTGTGTGCCTACCGTGCACGAGCTGTCGCTCTGGGGGAGACCGAGATGGAGTACGGGGGTTCTCAAAAGGCTTGACAGGCTATTGTCACGGGTCCCCTAGACACCAACACAGCTTCCGAGATGAGACATGAGGTAAAAGATTGGTTCTGTTCTGCCAGGGGAGCGGGTATAGTCACGCTTGAACGTATTGTGTGGTTTTTTTTTTTGGTTTTTTTTTGTTGTTTTTTTTTTTTTGTTGTTGGACAACCGTTGGAAAGGACTGCTTGTCAAGATGGAGAGCTTTACAAACTTTCTTTTGGGTAGAAATGAATTCAGGGAGTTTAAAGTATCCCCCACCCCTGCCCCGTGGCAGTGAGCCGCAGAGGCTCAGGCCCGCTGAGAATCTGGTGCTGCCCCTCCCACCTGGCCCCCAAAGAGGTCTGGGTACAGTACAGAAGCATTTGGCTCAGGTCTCTGGGGCGCTGTTTTGCTGTGATTCAGACTGCAGTGGTATCGACGGGCTCTCACCAGTAGAAACTGTGACAGCCCCAAGCTCCTGATCTTGTGATTTGGGGGGAATGCCATCTGGAGCTTCAAGCAAATGATAACCTTCTTTCTGACCCGTCGGGCTCGTGCCCGGGCCATCGTCGGGGTTATGGCACCCTATGTATGTCCTTTGTGTTTACAGGGAGCCAGGATCAGAAGTGAACCCTGTTCCCATGTACAGAGCCGTTAGGAGGTGTCTTCCCAGAGTGGCCTTGCCGTCCCTTGGGTTTGTGCTCTACCAAGGTTCTCCCGCCAATCCAACACCCACCCACCAACCTCCCTGCCCACCCTCCTCCGCCACAGGAGCGATTTCTAGGCTCCTGATCCAACGGGAAGGGTCCGGAAGCTCCCTCATGGAGACAGAGCATAAGCTTGGGCCTGCAGGTTCTTGTTGGTCATGGTGCCTGCCTTGCCCTGCTTTGGCCCTAGCTCTCCGCTTCCATATGGTCCCTGGTTCGCACTCTGGACTCTGGCCATCTGCCTGGCCTTCGTCCCGTCGAAATCGGGTCGGGTTCTGCCCATCTGCCCACCCCCAACTGACACTGTAGCTCGTCTGGTTCTTTCCCACGGCTGGCTGACACCTCAGTGTCCCGAGTCGCCCGCAGTCCGGGTGGT